CAGACGGTGTGCCTAACCGAGTCAACAAAGAATGTTTGCTTCGACTTTGACTTTTAGCAGAGAAAAAACACTAAAAGACCATTGTTTCTTTGAAAACTTTCAAGTCACTCGGCTAGGCACACGGCTGTTCACACGGCACCTGCCCCCGGTGTTCCCACACCTCAACTCATTAGAAAAGTGCAGCTTTCTCCGGTGGCCGTTCTTGGCCGTTCTCCCAGGGTGGCAGGCTCACCGACCAGAAAGCTGATTCATTGCAAGCTTCCAACAGCCCACCTTGCGTAATATGGTAATCTTAAAGTCTTTCAAAGATTGTTTCTACAATAAATGAAGAAGTGAGTGCGGAAAAGACTGGTAGAAATCTGCTCGACACTCGCTTATTTATACCAAGAATTCAGCCAGTGGGATTTTTGACCCAGCCGTTCAGGGCCCAACCGGTGAGCCGGTACCGGTCATAAACGGTCGCGAACGGTTATTTCGCAGGTTACTGATGCCTTCAACCTTCAACCTTCATATAAACGCAACGGGGTCTTCCATATATGGATGATCACAACAAGGTACACCGTACCTGATGTTGTCAGTGCGGATCATTGTCCTGGTTCACCACAGTATCCCCTTCAGTTGTTCGAACTCCAGGTTGAGATTGAACCGTGGAAATAGGTCGAACACAGAACGTCGTCATTGAGTCCTTGGCTTCTGTCTCTGCTCTCTGAACGTTCGTTCTTACAATTAAGAGTGTTGGGGAGATCCCCTGAGATTCTTCGTCAGTTTATAGCTCAATGAATGTAGATGGCCTCGAGGCTTACCGGAATCAAGGCCAGCTTTCCTCAAAAACCAGGCAAAATACTTGAGTTTCCTCCTTACCTTGTACTTACCTTATACAACGCGCTGACAGCTGTACTTGAGAGAACCTTGAGCAACATGGTTGAGTCAAACTTGAGGGAGTGAACGAGGTGGCTCAAGGTCGATGTTGAGGGAGTAGATGAGGCAACTCAAACCATGCTCAAGGGTACCTCAACATCAACCTTGAGGGAGTAAACGAGCTGACTCAAGCCGCACTCAACAATGATTCAAGCTTCATCTCAAGTCAGGTCGGGCAAACACACATGCAAGGGTAGAATAAAATATATTGTATATGTTGTGCAAATACATAGGAGCAGCGAGTATGCCGCGTAGTGAGGGCTGCCATTGTTTGATGTGATCACTGTATGATGTGCAGGGCTTATGAAGTCAAGTGCTGACCTTGGGTTGGGCTGTTTTCTGGCCAGGACAACATATTCATTGACTGTGGGGAGGTTGTAAGTAGCTGAACCGGACTGACAGAGAGGGAACATGTACCAGTAGGCAGCTCAGCGGTGAGTGCATATCCTGTGTTGTTGTTGATTTCTTCCTTTCTACGCTACATTTCAGTGAGATACAGAGTGGAGGAGAAGGCTGGTTTATACATTATGGTGCTTCAAAATTATACATTGTGTTAGAGCTGCTGCAATATCAATAGGTGTTCCATTTAACTCAAACCATTCATCATGTTCCGTCCCACCTGTTCAAGTCTCAGAAACAAACGAGAATTGAGACAAAAAAAAGACTCACAGCAACAAATGACTTCTGTCCTCATGAACCCTAAGCAATCCATCTTCAGGTGTATACAAAGCTCTGGGATGCCAAGTTAGAAGGAACTCCAAGGATAACAAAGACGATGCACCTACTTTCTGGCAATTCATTGCTCAAGTTTGTACTTTCCTTTACTCATGTTCATACTCTTGAGTCTCTTTATCATTTGCTTAAGTCCACATTTTCTTTCACTCAAGTCCATTTGCCTCTTTGCTCAAGTCCATACTTTATGTTCGCTCAAGTCTAACTTCTTCTCTCAAGGCTATTTATTGCCTACTCAATTTTCACTCAAGTTCCCTACCTACATTAGTACAGAGTGAATCACAAGTTGGTGTTTTTTCTGCTCAAGTCATTCTCAAGATTTCCTCAAGTCATTCCTTCAGATATTTGTAAAGTTAATACTCAAGTTGATACTCAAGTTGAATCTGATTTTGAGATCTACTACTTGAGCAGCATACTTGAGGGTGAAAACTTAAGGTAGAGGGCCTAAGGAGCCTCAAGGGTTTTGCCCCGATTTTGAAGGGAAGGTGGCCGTGGAGTAGGCTTACTGTGATTTGTAAACAGACCGAGTTCAAATCCGTCGAGTTGGGAACTTGGGCGAGGTTACAGACAATCAGCGCCAGCCATCCAATCAAGTAGAACAGACAAGATTGTAACCTAACCCACGTGCCGGGGATCAGAGAGGAGCAAACATTTCAATAGTCATGTAGCATACTCACAAGATGACGGCGATTGTTCGGAATTGTTTCGGTGTGCTCATAGCTAACCTTTGACGGTAGCTAGGCCACAAGATCTTACGAGCTATGTTAACAAAACACAAAATTCAATCACGCATTTTGCGAAAGTAGAATTAAAACTCACCGATCACGATTGTCAAGAACACATTAAGGAGCATATGGAAGAGAAGACATCCCATGGCAGCGGCCTGTAAGAATCTCACTCGCACAACGTTCGACAGTAAGTTTCTGATCGTCGAGTCGATCGGTGAGTGGATGTTGAATGAGGACCACATCTCCCCCAGAACCTAGAGTCCTGATGCCCCTGCTGCGGCTTTGAAGCGCGGCTAGTAAGATGTGTGGTCCGACATCCATCAACAAAGGAACTCACCGTCGGATATGTAGCAGCACGCAACCAGCAGTATGGCGTTCCCTCGCTCTTCTCACCTGCAAATGACGAAACATCGGAATATTTGTTGATTTAAGGATCAGTCGCGTCGAGGGGATGTTCGAGAAATCACTTACCAAGATCGTATCCACAATCATACTGTCAGCCGAATGGTCAACCCATCTCTAACACGGATTTAAGGAACTCGCTCGCTCACCCCATAGTCAACAAGATCACAAATCGACAGATTCTGTGGGATTTACATGTCAGTAAAATAAATAAACTCCCGATACACAAACGAAGTCCTCACTGTAAAACATTGCTGGTGATATGCACCGCCAGTGTATACTCCAGCCCCGATACTGCACAAAATGCCCGCCTTACATCTAACATATCCGCCATGAGGCTCATCGGCACACTGATCGAGGACAGAACGAAGAGAGTAATGATTGAGATTCGGCAAAATCGGTTCCCGTCATTTTGCTCTCGCGCACGTCTCCACAGAACCACGAGACCGATGCGAAACAGGAGAGCGTTAAAGCCGTTTAAGAATAGATGGACCTAAAACGAGTCATGAGCAATTTTAAACGATCGAAGAAATCAGATAACTAACTAAAGAGACAATGATCGGGAACAGGACGCTAAACTTGTATTGTTGTTCAAGAGCATTAACATTTATCGGGGAAGTGGAGCTGATCGTTGAGTTCATACTGCCGAGAACGAGGATGAGGGTTTCTGAGAGCGATTGGGTCTGATATCGCTATACGACTCACATACTTATAAACGAACCATCAAAGTTCGACTTTGGGGTATCTTCCGTCACCCGACAGGTTTCTTAATTCACTGATAATAAGACGGGAAGAAACCTTAACTCTCTTGAATGCCCGCAGAGTGTAACTTGGGGAATAGCATTGCATTAACAGCAGCTTGCCGCTCCGCTTCCGCGTCATACGGGGTTCCATGTTAGCTGTCGAGAGCTCGCGGAGGCGAAGTGGTCATATGCCGTCTAATTCTTCAGGTGTGGATACAGCAATAAGCCACACACAAGAGAACGGACCTCGAGTAGGAATCAGAGGTAAAATTTACACGAGCGAGGGACACAGTACACAAGTCGATCCGAACGAAAATTGGAGATGATTCGAGGTCAAACGTGATCCCTGTCAATGCCATTCAACCGGACACTAGTGTGTAGCCTAAAAGAAGAAGGTACCGTCTGACCTAACATTCAGTAGAAACTCACTTTCAGGGCCCACATACCATTCATATTTCCGACAACGTCCCAGTGATCCAGTTTAACACCTCTTCATTTGCGAAAGGTGAATTTGGACAGGTTGAAACCGCCCTCTTCGGAAAGATTATTTCACTCTGACGGCGGGAAAAGGTGCCGAAGGCTAAGACTGAGCCCATGGATATGTTCTCAGGTAAATGTATGGTTCCCAAGCAAGCCAACTTCGAAATTAGCATACTATCCAGGCATATACAAAGGAAAGAAACGCGCCCGAGAAACATACGCCTAACCCGGGAACCATTAGGGCGTCACGGTAGTGAGACCCTCACTTCACGTATACTTTCCATCGCGCTTGGAAAGATTGCTATACCAACCCATGCCCCGCCTTGTCCTTCATCAACGTCAATTGGGACTTTGTAGATAAAGACGAGCAAAGATACTGACCAGAACATAGATAGCTCTGTTTCTTTTTTCTGTTTCCATATGTCCCCAAATAATTCTCCTTACTATACGCCAAAATTTCAGCCAGGAACAAGGCATTCACGATGCGTCGTCGCTCTGTATAATGCAAATACGTACCAAACGGTGCTCGTGATGATAATAAACGGCTCCTGAAGGGAATGAGAGAGGGTAGGTGAAGCGGGATGAATCGATCAGGCGATCAATGCGTGTTCTAAGCGTCACTCTGCGTTATCGAAAAAGAAGAATGGCTGTTCAAGGCTACAATTATTACTGGCGCGTCTGAAACTCATCAATTGTGGAGAATCTAGCCCAGATCCCTGGTGGTTGCGATTCAAGAGACGATCGGTCGATACGCGCATGAAAATTCGATCCTGGCTGTGACCCTTCCATACCCTACGTACCTGCATACTTAAGCTCCGGGGGAGTGGGTTTTATCTTTCGGTTTTTTTCGGTAGCTTTGCTAACTAAGCCAGGGCAAAGGGTAAATACTCAACGTTTATTCCTTCAAGTGAGAGCAGAAGCAGTGTATCGTCAATATAAATTCTTGGTAATTGACTCCGTTCATTGACGAATAAAAAGATTTAACCAAGTGACGCATTCCGACCAGCCTGGTTCGAACAGGCGACCCCAAGATCACGATCCGAGGCAACCCATTACAGTCTTGTGCTCTTCCAACTGAGCTATGGTCGGTTGGGAAGGATGTCGAGCGGGTATAAGCAAGATCAACGGAGGAGGATCGCCGAACACAGCCACGAAGATTTACCATGCGGGTCCGTGGGCAAAATCATCATCTTCCATTTTGCTTCTTGACCACGATGATTTAAGCAGGGCCGGCAAGCGGCAGGGCCCGCTACTGCCTGTCTTCAGACTTCTGCGCATCAGTCGGGGGGATTCGATGCGACTTGTGACCGAGCAACTTTTCGCAAGTTAGCTCATAATTTTCGTCTAGATGCCTTTGGCCCAGCCTGAGATATCAGCCTCAGAATTGTGCTTAGCCAAGTTTTAACATTCCCTCCCCGTGAACTCCCCATTATCTAGGAAACAATGACCTCAGATCAAGAGACAGTCACAGAAACAGAGTGAGTATACTATCACCAGGCTTTTCAAACGTAGGAAAAAGTTACCCAAGTAGTAAATACTAAACAATAAACAATGGTGGTGATAGCCAGACGGACCTCCCCACTGGTCGTCGCTCGGCCTTCGGCCAGCTCCTCTCAGTAGGAAGGGGGGGAGCCCCCCTCGCCCCCTCTAATGCCAGAGGAATAGCATATCTAAAAATATCTTTCATACTTGAACTGCTGAACAACACTGGGGGTGACTTGCGGCCGTGTTGAAAAATTCACGGTCCATGGAGGTGGACACAGGGGACCCACAGACCTGAAGTTGGTATTATTACTAATAACAGCCAGTCGCAAAAATCACGAATTGTAGGGCTCCTCGCCGTGGGTTGTACCGCCGTGTATGTGGATGAATCCTGACTCTCTGCTCTGAGTTGGTTGTTGAATGGACTGGAAAGAGTAAGCTGGAGTGACCTTGGATTGATTCACTCCTTGGATCAGTTGCGAGTCACTATGAATTTGATCTGGATTTTGAACTGGATTGTATTGAGCTGAGTTGCTTTGAGTTAGATTAAGTTTGGAGCAACTTCAATTGAGGAGAAAGGATATCCACGAAAACAAAGGGTACAATGCGAGAATAAATTGTTGGGCCAGGCTCAAGAGCAATACTTGGGAAGGTGAGCTCAGTAAATCCCAGGCCGAGGATACCATGCATACTGATCGGAGAACGACGATGAAACGCGACTCGGACTCGCGACGAAATCTTGGACCAGAGCTCGCGTGACTGTGTGAGAGTGAACGTGATACCGTGGGCAAAAAGTCACGTTCGCTGAAAGTGGGTTGCACAGAATCGGTTTTTGATGGTCCGGTAAAACCCTCTACTTAGCAGTAGCGGGAATAAACACAAGCGACGAAATCCTTACCCTCGGAGCCCCTTGCCTACTCTCTACAACTCATTAGTATAAGGATAGTCGTGTCGAGATGTATGTCTCAGTATCATTCTCTCTTCATTTGAACTGACCATCTTTCGATTCAAAGGTCGACTCGAATGTCGCCAGGATTGGATGCTAACGCACTGGAATCGTAATGGGAGAATATCTGGAGAATGACATGGGCCCGCGCGCATATGGAGAACATGGCAGAGTAAGACTTTTGGAGCAGTTGGAAGTCAACACGGACGCTAGGTAATGATGGTCCCTTTGGTGAGTTTTGAGACGTTTTTGTTCGGTTATGCGCACTGCCGACAGCTATGTTCAAACCTATAGGAAGCCCAAGACGCCGAAATCTACCCCAGCGTACCGTTGAGGAAGTCCGAAACATGAAGTTACAATCAGAACATTTTATTCAAGTCTCTTCACGGCCATTCACAGTCTCTTGAACCTCCATCTCCAAGCCGGAAGCTCTTCCTCGCGTGAGTGTAAACAGAATCTGAGGGCTGCCATGAGACACGCATACCTTTTGGATGTGGTAGACGTGGGGGCATGTTCGGGTGGAATATGCGCCTGTACATATGGTACACTTATCCTTCTCAATCCTCCTTGATGTTGTTTACTCACCCTATCGAATTTCACTCGGCGTTCGGTACACAAGACACCAACATGCATCCCTCAAGAAGGAGTTGCACCTTGCGTGAACACCGGAGAATTTCAGGCTACGAAACTACCTACTACAAGTCGACATGCATCAGGATAGAGCTATCGAAGTAGGGCTGACCGCTGGATCTTGCGCCCAACCTGAGAGTCTCTGAGCTGACGGAAGACATGGTATTGCCTTTCCCATATGGTGCGTTACTTTTCCCTGGCTCCCTGTCCTCATGTTCACGGATATGTGCCCCTAGGATTCCGCCGCAATGCTCGAGGCCAAAGTCTCCTTCGCATTGAACACCCTTTCGAATTGCCCGGAGTCGATATCAGCAGAAGATGTCGATGAGCATTTAAAAGAGATCCTCTGTTCAGATATGTGTTACCTTGGTGAGCTTGCCGCTATACTTCAGTCTAAAACGCCTATACTGACGCAGATGACGGGAACTTGGTCATCTCAAAAATGTTTAGCTGATGTTATCCAGTTGATTGAACGCATCACCATACCCCCAATCTTCTTGTAACGGCATCGTAACTCAGAAATCAATAGGACGAATTTTGGAGAGTAGAATCGTGGCAGTATCGTAGCAGCCTATTCCAACGTTGCACCACATGCCGGCTACCACGACAAGAGCTTGTACCCCGCGGCGTGCAGCTTTGACATTATCTTCTCCAATCACATCTATGGAGATACTGTTGCATGTCTCACTCGAGCGAACCTTCATGCCGCCGACCAACGCCAATACTCTCGTTGGATTGATTTCTTGCGCTCTTCGATCCCTCGCTCCTCACCCCCATACATGCGTTTCCGGGCGAAGGAAACAGTACCTAACCACCTTTCTTCATTTGGTACTTGACGCTCACGAAGAGCATATATCATAGAGTCTTCCACACTTATATGCTCTCGTCCACTGGCCCTATCCGCAGCATCGTTATTCTTTCTTTTCGTATCATTCATTGGCTCGCTGCGATTACCTAGAACATTGAGGTTGATGATCAGCCTCGATCTTCCCTAAAGCTGTTTCGTGGTATTCCCCATGTTGAACACGGATATGGTAGCTTCACACCTGTGGAGTTGTTAGATAGAGATACCTAGTAGGGGCTGAAACGACCTTTTCGTCGGATTTGTTACCTCCCACCACGATGTTCATTTCTTTATCTTCTCTAACTACATCTTCATCCTGGAATCTGCCCCCGTCAATGCTCGTTGCTGGGTCTATATCCTCTATAATCTTCGCTCCGTGCACTCGTACGGGAACGGACTCGTACCCCGACCCCAACTGCTACCCACACCTACATGTTACTGGTGGCCGCAATCTCTCCAATCCTGTCAATCATTAACACCCTTGACGTTCCGGGGAAGGCTGTTTCAGGGCTGCCTCTCATGAATGATATGCCGACTTAATCAGTCGTTGAGAGGCTCAGTAAGCTGATCATATGAGACCCCGTGAGAGAGAGAGGGAGATGGGCTACACCTTGACCTGCTTTATTTTTGAGGATGATGCCCCGGTCGACATAGTGGTCCGTTGATCCAATGCTTCTTGGTGCAACCAACCCCGCTTTTTTTACGGAGAGTGGAACTGGAAGCCTACGACGGTATCGTTTAGGGGCCGTAGAGATCAATAATCAATTCTACCATCCTTAACCTCTTCTCTATCCTGGATCAGTCGTTAGGAATCGCATGCTATCAGAACGGTTTAATGTACATGATGAAATCTAGTGATTTCTCAGTTGTTTCGGTTTATTTCAATATACCACGCGAACGGTGCAATGCTACATATGGAATTCAGCCCTATCCATGTCGTCAATAGTAGGCTATGTGGGTCATCAATCCCTCCCGCCTCCAAATCCAAATCCTCCTTTAAATGGACCAGGGTTCCAGCTAGGGGGAGGAGGGGGTTTCTTGAACCCTCTCAAAGCAAGAGATGGACTGTCACCGTTGAGATGTTAGGGCAAAGCTACTGAATTTACTGATCAGTACTCACCCCTGGATTATTGGCGCGCCCATAACCGAATTTGAAAGGAGGCAGGTAATTGCAAGTGCAAGGGTGGCGATTTGGAAGCGCATAGTGCAGGAGAGGGCGTCGGAGTAAACAATAGATAAAGCAGCTCTAAAAAGACGCAGCAAATTATCAGTATTGGGTAAAGCGTTGAATGATTCGACACTCACCAACCAAAAAAGACCAACCAGTGGTATTTAATAATCACACAGAAGAAAGGGGGATTAGAGAGAAATGGATCTCGGGTGGTTCCACTTATACGATGCATGTGATCCAGTTTCCATCATTGAACACTCTGATATCTTTTGGCAAAGTTACCGTTCGTCAATTTGCTGTGTAGGATGGTTGTATCATTGAGATGATGAAGTTTTGAGTTTCAAGCACACCAGCAATAGATACCACTAAGCTGTACGCAGAAACCTAACATTTCGAACGCAGTGGGCGCACACGGCTTGCCTTCAAGAATGCTGTTCATCTCTACCACCATCAGCACAAAAGAACAGTGATTTGACAGTGATGGAAGATTGGGCTTGGAAGTTCTGCTCACGAATAGCCTGAGGGCGTATACACGCAGTGACGATGTATACGGATTCCAAACTGACTGCATTTGGGTCGCGGGGCATGCCGCTACACGTTGAGGGTGGTGAAGAGTTGCAGGAACTCGGGAAGAACGCTTAGTGGCTTTCACGGCATTTTTCAACAATTGAGGGATGGGCGTTGGGCAAGTCAATTGATTCACTTGTTCCTATCATTTTTATGAGATACCTCTTATGTTTCCCGTGTATCTTTCAACAGTCTAGACCACAAATTCTGGCTTGAGCAATGAGGAACCGTCAGATGAAATCGTAAGCCTAGCAACCTGACCTGTTCGCACGAATGAAAAGATTTCCAACTACGCACGTTCATTGAGAATACCGATGCTATGAATCAGTTGAGTGAAATGGCATCGGTCATTGTTCAGTACTAGTAAGTAGTCTGTTACCCATATTTGTGGGAACTTGGGTGTACCATCAGACATCGTCGTAAGCTCACCAACCAGGTACATAAAGAAT